TGTGGACAGGGAAACTGAGGCACAACTGGCCTTGGCTATGCTGAGTGACAAAGATGAGGACAGAATCCATCTCACAGTGGATCAGTCCACTCCTTCCAACAGGTAGTCTGTGGTGTAAACCAACAAAAAGCCTGTGTGTTCATAAAAAAAAACAAATATTAAGTGTAACAGGAAGAAAATCTTCTACTGTAACAAGCTGCAAGTAACGCCAAGGACATTTCAAACTTGTATTACCGCCAAGATCGTCTATATAAAACAGCAACCTCAAAGAAACAAAGATTATTTTTTGTGCCTTTTGAAAAAATCTGAACCACCCTGCAGAGTTTCTATGCATTAAGACAACTGTGCTCACCCAGCAATCTTTGCTCCCAGATGCATCCTTCATCCACCCTCCTGAAGGCAGTCCCACACAGCCATGCATGGCAGGTGAACAGGACACACAGGTATCAACTGCAGTTCACACAAGAGGGTTTTAGCATCTCGTTCTGATGAGGCCAAGAAGTCCCAGAGCCAATAAAGCAAGCAGATGTCACATCTGGCACACACCAGACTCAGCAGTGGCTTTGACAGAATGCTGCTGGGAGCAAAATGCGTTTCATGACTGCACCTTTACCAGGGAAACTACAGCGTTCTCATCAACAGGGCAGAAATACAAAGCTGACTGTTAGTAAGAGAAAACCAACAAAATCAAGTGTGGCATGACCTGTTTCATAATAAAGTGGACAGGGGAATAGATATTCTTGGATATATTCCAAATAGAGATCTAGCTCATGCTGCTTTCTCAACATAGATGGGAGCTTTGCCACAGGCTGACGTGGGATGAGATCGAGTTTAACGCATGCACCACACGCAGCAAGGAGTTTCTGGTAGGAACCTAGGACTTTGCTGTCACTACTCAGAAAGTAAAACAGTTTTAATGTATAAATTGTTAATGCATGTCCAGCTCTGCTACGGGATATTTAGTACAGACATGTGGTAATGAACATTCCTGCTGATTTCAGGTGCAGGATGACAGAGGATAATAAAGCAGCTTTTAACAGGACAAAACTTCCCCTTCAAAAGTGCGTCCCTGAGCACTACCTGGGAATCTGTGCTCTTTGTAAAGCAGCAGAGCAGCAAGATAAAGCTAATCATCCCTTTGGTAGTTCTCCACAAGATGATTATTTAGAAGGTAAAGAATTCCTAGAATTCTTTCACTAATGATAAATATTCTCCTTGCTTCCCAGAAATCAGCCCAATTCTTCTCTCTTTACTTATCATCCATTTACAGACTTGGGGTTTTTTGCATGCTCATACACCGGTCAATCAGCCAGAGAGAGAACTGAGCATACATAAACGGGTAGGATGTTCTTGTGGTTACACGATTACCAAAGGAATGACAAGAGGACTTTTATTCTGGTTCTGCTCCAATTCACTGCCTGAATGCGGACAAGTCACAGACTCCAGTTGGGTTCATTCAGTTTTCCTACTGAGCCCTTGGAAAGCAGTGCCAGGCAGGCCCCACCGTGCTGGGAGCCACAGAGCAGCCTCTGAATCACCGGAACTTCCCGGGGAGCAGAGCCCGTGCCAGCGCAGCCAACGCTGTAACACAACCCGGGGCTCGCAGGGCATCGCCGAGGCGGCCCCGGGGCTGACAGCAATACCACACCGAGCAGCACACATCAAGTCTGAGGTATCCAGACTCCCTGGAACCAAAGGCTTAGTCCCTTGGCAGGATTAACGCAGCCATTCACCCTCGGAGACTGCATAGAATTCGCTCTCATCAAACTCCTAACCAAGGAGCTCCCACAAAAACGTCCCGGCTCAGTCTGTGATAATCAAAGTACAAGTCCGGGAACACATTACCTCATTTTCCAGTCTGGGGGAAGACACAAAAAAAACCCTTCCCTGTGGATCGCAGCCAAGGCAGCAGTACCTTTACCTGACCAATCTGTCTGTTATTTGCGACAAGTTACCCTTGAAACATTCCCTTTGTTCCAGAAAAGTGGGGTACCAGACAGGAGCACTGACTCCACTAGCGGAGAAGAAAATGCTAGAGACCGACCAAGAAGATCTGCTGCTCAAAAATAGCTGTTTGGGCCTCTTATCCATTCCATGTCCAAACACTTCTTCCTTAACCCTGCCCTCAATAACGGACTACGATCCAAAGCAGAAAAATCTCATGTCTTTTGGGGGAAACTGTGGAAGAGAAATTTAAAAGAAGACTCCTGGACATCTACGGTGGTGACAATTTTCAGAAAGGTTGCCCTTTTTCCTCAGGAGTCTTCTTCCTTCCTTTGCCACTACATTTTATACAAGAGGTTGAGAGTTCCTGCCCAAAGCCACATCTCACTGCAGATCCTGCTGACACCCCCTCAGCAATCCCAGCGACCTGCTACAGACCAGGCCAACACAGGGAAGCAGCTTCCAGTCCACCAGTCCCCATAACGCTTGTGTCCAGGATCCACTGTTGTATCCTAGATCCACCAGCATGCATCTTCAGCACTGCAACCACAACTAATACACCACAGGAGAGTACAGGCTACAAACTCTCCCAAGTGTTTAGAGTTAACTTAATTACAGGTGAAATGGGCACCATCCATAAGAGGGGAGAGAAAACACACCTGACAGTCTGTCTGCTGATCCCTCTCCCAGCATTGGGTCAGGCCTCTCTCCTCAACTGAGCTGCCAGTTCTCCCAAAGGTTTTAAGAACTCAGTAATCATTTAGACTTTAACCTCTGTCAGATTTGTTGTATTAGCCTGTAAATACTGGCTTGGGATTACTCAAGGGCTTTCAACACTCTAGTGATTGAAAATATCTCACAAACAATCAGGACTGCAAAAGTTCCAGAGAAAATAATCCAAAACCAACGTGCAGGCGCTGAGGACTGAGGAGCACCCCTGTGCAGTGCAGGTCTGGCCCACAGGACCAGAAGTGAGCGGGAACGTGCTGCTCTCCTGTGTCACCCCCACCTGCCCATCATTCCCCCTCTTCTGCTTTAGCTGACATTTGACGTCTTCAGGGGACACGCTTCACCATTTGTGTATTGTTAAAATTCATAATAAAACAAGCCTCAGTGTGAGGGAGAAATGTGTGAAGGGGAGGTCGTATGAAGATATATCCACTAGCAACAGCTGCCAGATGAAAACACTGGAAAACACTTCAGTATTTAATTAAAATAGGGCACAGGATACATAACTGCCTGGCAAGATATCATTAAAGCACAGAAGCTTTGGTGGAGCTGAGTAATACTCAAGGAACAGAGAAGATCAATATGCACTTTTCTGCAGCTCTGCTCCAATCCTCTTCAAAAGAAACCTTTATGAGCTAAAATTTAAAAGCACATTACCCTCTCTCAACTTCTCTTATGCAGTTTATTTTCTGAAAGCTTGTTATTCAACAGGAAAGTTAATATGATACAAGAAAACAATGAAAGAACCCTCCACAGCAGGCGGGTTAGAACTAGATGATCTCTAAGGTTCCTTCCATCCCAAATCATTTCAGGATTCTCTGAAGTTATCACTGCATCTATACCTTGACCTTCTGCAAGTGCAGCATTTTCTCAAAGTTTCATCTACATAAGTAGAGTTTTATAAAAAATGTAAAACAATCAATTTAAAGGAGGAACTTCTTCCAGAAAGAGCTCAGGAGAGGGGGTTAAACTTCCATCAAAATGGATTAAAAGCCTCATTTTTCCTCTTTTTTAGCTCTCCAAGACAAACATGCCCTCGTGCCTCTATCAGCACAGAACAGTAGCACCAAGTTTCAAAACGCCATTCCTGCAAATCTCTTCTTGTCACAAGATGACAAATTATTCCTTACCCCCGGATAACTTTACACCTATGTGTCATCTCAACCACTTCATGCAAAGTGAAGATCACCAGCACTATGCAGTCATTTACAGCCCTAAGAGATCAGCCCAATTGCCTATCAAATTTAATCCCCAGGACAGAAACCCACGGCAGAAAACATATCCAAAAGTCATCTAAGATAAGAAGTCTTTCCATCAAACTCAGTAGGCTTTGAATTGAACTACTAAAAAAAAAAAAAAAAAAAGCAACAACCCAAACTGAAACTTATACCACCACACATCTGCAGGCAATTCCGCTGGCATAAGGCAGCTAGAGATCGTGTCACGAGATTGATAGTCTCTGCTTTCTTATTCCGATTCCTGTAAACATTTTCTTAGAACAGACTCACTGAATCGTTTAGGTTGGAAAACACGTTCAAGTGAGGGACGCAACTCCGTTATCTAGACATATACGTTGTCATTCACGACTTTAATCACGTTTTTATACTATAAAGCAATTTATACCCTTATCATGAATTTTACACGATAATTGTAGAATGTGCAAAAAAAAAAAAAAGAAAACCCATTCTTATTATCTGTGCGTTACTTTCCCCTTTCAGTGCTGCCAGGCATTGTTCAGGAGCTGTGAAATGGCAAAAGGGAACACCACTCTGCTCATCAACTTTCCCAAGCGCTGCAGACTTGCTGCTTAACTAAGCAAAACCCAAGTTCTTTTGGCTGTGTCCCTGCAAGGTGTCACCCCTGCCTCTCCTTATGACAGCGCTCCCGAATTCGTCTGCGAGATAACTCTTCCAAATCAGAACTTACAGAGTATTCACCACCCGGCTCGAGGACCCCACATTCTGGGCAGTAAAACAAGCCTTTCCTTACGACTCGGGTACTGGTTTGCCTTCCACGACAGGGATCCTTCCCGAGAGGAACCCTCTGCCTCAGGTACTTAGCAAAGGGACCGCACAGGTCTGAAACACGCGAGCAACACAGACCGCGCTTACGGGGGAGACCGACAAGCAGCACCTGCACAATGCAAACCCGCACGAGTCATCCCGGGCCGCTTTTCCTTGAAAATCTTTTAGTTATCTTAGCAAGCGCCGTTCCCAACTCGCTCCCCTGCCCGGCGCTGGATGGAGGCGCCGGGGGCGCACCGGCCGCTGGCAGCGGCAGAGCCCCGAGCTCCCCGCATCCCCCCCCGCGGGCGTGTCGGTACTGACCGGCCGTGGGCACGTCGGGGACCAGCTTGAGGGGCCCGATCTGCCGCAGCTGGAACGCCGTCCGCACTTCGTGGCAGCTGGGGGACCTGCCCGCCGCCGCCCCGCCGCACAGCCCCGCCGCCGCCAGCAGCCACAGCCCCAGGACGGCGCCGGCGGCCATCTCGCAGCCCGGCACACGGCCGCGGGCCGCCCGAGCGCTGCGGGGCGCGGGCCGGGTACCGCTGGCGGTCCCGGTACCGCTGCCGGTCCCGGCGGCGGCAGCGCTGCCCTCCCCGCCGCCCGCGCTCCTCCTCGGCGGGAGCGGCCGCCGCCGCCCGCCCCTCCCCTCCTCTCCCCTCCCCTCCTCTCCCCTCCCCGCGGGGTCCGAGGGGCGCCACCGCCCCCCGATCGCGGCAGGAGGGGAGGGGGAGAGAGGGGAGAGCCCTGACACAGCTCCCGTGACACCCCTCAGCGGGACCACCCGGCGCTGCTGCCCGGCCCCGCGGGACACCCACACGCAAGTTCTCAGGGGGCACCGGTGCGGTCCCTGCGGGCCACGCAGACCGAGGGAGCAAACCGAGGTCAGCGGAAAGAGCCCCGAAGGGAGGGAGATAGATCAGCACCCGATCGCGGCGTGGGGCTGTTGGTAACAACAGGTACAGGGGGCAGACGGAGCAGGAGGGAAAAAGCCCCTGAGCGCTGCAGGGTGCACGGTTTGCTTCGATCCCGAAATTCCTAGCAGATAGCACGGAAGGGTCTTCACGAGACAAGGGTTAACTCCAACCAACAGTCCCAGGTGAGACGCGAAACTTTGCACCAGGATACATATCTTTCTGTACCAACTGCGGATATAAATTGTTCATTTGCACAAAAGCCAGCGTCAGACCCATCCTATATGTTCTGGGGGACATAGCCCCCTCCTGGGCATGACACCACCTTGAGAGCCGCCACTGTCACCATCAGAGAGCTGGTCCCCGATCTTTTTTCACCGTCCTAAGCTGCTCTACCACACACTTGAGCACAGAACTACGCTCAACACCCATGAATATTTTCCATTTCACACAAAACACTTCATTCCCAGAAAAACCAAACCCAAGCGGTCTCTCACAAAGAGCCCCATTTGCACAGTACCTTTCAGGCATCTGGAGCACGTTAGGAGCTATAAGAATGACTATTGTTTGAGGCCATTATGTGTGATTTCTTTAAGGTTACTTGCAACCTTCAAGATGCTTCTAATGTGCTTCTGGAGCAACGGGGGAGCCCACCTGCAGCTAATTTAACCATTATACATTCCCATAGGTAGTAATGAGAGGCTGAGCTCAGTGCTGAAGTTGCCCAAGTTGTATTTTAATAGCTAGAAGTGCAAATCCTTTAAACGATATGCTTGTATTAACTTTGTTCCTATCAAGACAAGAAGAGATAATTCTCACTTTTTTGAAGAAAAAGTAATTTGATTCAGAACATTTAACTGTTGACTAAAAAAAAAACCAATCTGGAAGAACAAACCAGCCATTTAATCAGGATTCTAAACTCCAAAGCAGAGAACAAGTCACCCTCCAAGCCCTCTGTTCTCAGTCCTTGGCTCATCCTGCAGTTTTCCAAGGTCAGACAAGAGCCTAGGACACCACAACACACCACACCACAAGGGCTGATGGCCATGGACACCAGTACAGGTTAACTTTGCTGTCAGCTTGATATGGGTTATACAGCCAGCAAGATTTAAGTTACATACACATATTAAAAGGCTAAAATCGAGGTGGCAACAGGTAGATTAAGGGAGACGAGGGAGCATCAGTCAAAGAACAATTAGCATCGTAAGGCACAGTACCCTGGCTGACAAACTATTGTCCAGCATGAGGGCTTATGTGCACAAGGAAGACAAACAAGTTGCCCCCAGTAGCATTTTGCTTTACCTTGGGCCCAATCCTAAGAGACTTTAATTCAGACAATACTCCCATTGACTTCAGTGGGAGCTCTGCCAGAAAAGAAATGGCAGGATGATGGATCTGATGAATAATTTACTTGACAAACAGCAGCATTATTTGGCATATGCATTATTCTATGAATATCATCAAATGAGTCCTGTGCAAGGGATTTTTGCCATTGTTTTCAGTGGGTGGCAAGTTCAAATCTCAAACAGCTAATTATTTTCTAGCATGATTTATTTTAATGCCTCATCTTTACATGCTAGGTGTTCTTTTCCTCACCTGTCTTTTTAAGTCAGGTGACACTTATTTTACTTTTTAATTGGTCCTCAGATCGTTAGTAAAGAACAGTCCATTATGTTACCATTTTCAGCTCCCCTCCTGTCCTCAAAGTCCTGCCGTGGAACCCAAGTTATCCACATGCCCAAATTCAATAAAAAGTGTGTCAGTGAATTGGAACATCCATACATTTAATACTGGTTACTTCAATTCATAAGGAACTATTGATGTTTCCTGTTGTTTTGTGATAGCTATAGAAGCATTAAATAAAGATGACATGTTATGTTTTTTGGGCTGGAGGTTAATTTTTTCCCCCCTCTGCAAAAAAATGTCGATCTTCCACACATTGTTCAGGTGTATGTTTTTATCACTGATTACATCCACAGCAATGGGATGGTCATTACCACCGTCAGCAGCCCCAGGTGTTTACACACACACACAACCCACAGGTAAACACTGGCCTCCCTGCATCTCTGGGCTGACATGTTACCATCACACCTCTCTCCTGACACTGCTTTGGTGACAAACAATAACCTCCTGGCACCAGTGAGTGTGCAAGATTGCTACTGGAACCCACAAAGTGTCAAGTGACAGGCACTTCAGGTGTTTCTCCCTGACCAAAGTGTCATGTTTGGAAGTGACTGACTCCCCAAAGGACTGAGAACACACACCACAGGCATAATACAGTGGGATTCAATTAATTTAGGCCTTATTTCTCTGAAATACATGCTCCACACACAGCAGGGCAGCCAGACTGACTTTATGGAGGTAGTCAGGTGCTTCATGGCAAACACACGCCTGGGGGCTCTGCTGGAAGGGGACTGCAGATAACAGAAGAGCTATTTAACCAATTATTGTACATGACATTCTATCACACTTGAGCAATTTGACTGGAACAATCACACCTTGTCAACAGGTGTCTTGTATTATAACATGAATATTTATTAACTGGTCATCACCAACTGTATCAGTACTTCTTACAATGAATAGCAATATAAATCTGCCCAAACAATCTGCTCAGCCTTAATCCTGCTAAAGTGACCACAATACCCAGCATGAGCTTTGGGTGTATAAGAAAAGCTGGGATCAGGCCTACAAACAGGGTTTTGTGTGCCTGCTGCCTCAGCCCTTCTCTTGTTGAATATAACTGGAGCTTTGGCAGTGATTTAAATGGAAGCTGGACTAATTCCCTTATGTTTAAGATAAGCTCATCTCCAACACTGCATTTTCCACCAATGGGACTTAATGGGCACCAGGTCTGCTCTTGCCAATTCAGCTGCCAGAGGAAAGCCTTGTGTGCGGGTCTCAGCCAGTAATCTAGTCTTTAAAGCCTTATCTTTAGAGGTCTGATTTTCTAAGGTTCATGTTTTACTGAAGCACCTCAAACAGGTTCCTTAATTTTACTTCTGTCCACTAAGTCACTGGAAGGAGCCCAAAACACATGCTGGTTTTCATTTTAAAAAACTTAATCAGCTTCAAAAGAAATGCAAAATCCTCTCTCTATAATTAGACAAGTTTCTTTTTTTCAGGTTTTTATAATTTTCATTTTTTTCTTCTTTTAAGAAAGTTAAACCCATTTTCTAAAGACTATTATACTTCAAGTCAGAGCAAACTTTAAAGCTGACTATGAAATTTTAAATATAGATCTTAAATAGTAAAAAAGTCATGCATGAAATATACATAAATATGCCAAGACTAAAAAGCACTGCTTGAAAATCATTTCTGGTAGTTTTACTCAATTTTCTCATCATGTTAAGCGATGAGCACTAGGAAACTAAAATAAAAATTACTGGTAGAAACCTATCATTCTCTTTTTTGTTTAGAGATCCCGTTTTGTTCTCTCATTTGCTCCAAGTCCTGAGCAGAAGGAGAAGGAGCATTCTGCCATACCATGAACTGTTTCCTGTGTTGTATGTACTCCACATGGAAAAAATGTGTGCAGACCTTTTTGGTGGTCAGAATGCAGGATTGCTGTGCTGGCTCATTATTTCATAGATATTTTTCACTTTACCAAATGTACAGTTGCCTGTCATATTTTTTTCTGAAAGAAAAAAAAACAACCATGCCTGAAAAGCACAGCTGTTAAACTCTACCATAAGACTCATTTTTAAAAACATTATTAGGCCACCAACCAGCCAAAGATCTATGACAGAAATACAGTTGATATGACAACACAGCGTGTCAGGACAGCCACTAGTTAAGAGAAAACATCCTACAGACGATGCTGAACACAATTCCACTTTTTCATAATTTTCTAGTGTTTCCTCTTAACAGTGTGAGAGCAATTATTTTGGTTCAGACCAAAAACCCTTCACAGCCCAATGACTTGTCTCCCATGGCAGACATCAGACCCACCGTGCTTATTTACAGATTACACTGTGTGCAGCGTATCACAGTTCTCCCTCTCCAGACCTCGGCTCCAAGTCCCACTCTGGCACCCAGAGGCTGCTGAGCATGTTCTCTGACATGAGCTGAGAACATCAGTCTAATCCTCAGAAGAGCAGCTTTTCTTTATGGCCATAAAAAAGACAGCCCTGAGAAATTAGTATCTTAGTCTCAGTAGAGGTGTAAGGGAGGAAAAGGTACAGATTTTAATGACTCAGTAAAACAGCACCTCCCAGGGCTGGTCACTGCCATGATCCAAGAGGAACAGGCTGTGGAGGTGACTGCATGATAACAGTTTTCCCATCTCAGTAGCACCAGCTCTTTCTGTTTGAATTCTTCCTCAAGCATCCTGGTCACCAGGCAGCTGAGAAGATGAATGTACTCTTTGCCCTTACCTGCATGGCTCAGCATACAAATTAACTTAACTGGGACAAGCAAGTAGGCTCTGAACTTACTCGTGTGAGAAGCTGCCACACACAGCCCCAGGGAAATCAGGGAGATTACTCAAGGAGCAAAGGTTGCATAACGTAAGCAGGAGTATCTAGCTCTGGTTTCACATACTTCAAAAGGCCAATAATGGAAATAAGTTCCATATAAAAGAAGGCAGTAACTTAT